ACTTTTTTGCCCCACTGTATAGCCTTAGACATACTTCCTGGAGCACAAGGCAGAATTTTTTTCCCACAACCACATACTGTCTTTTGAAGCTTTACCTAACTTCTTAGGATATGATGGTTTATTCGATATTATCTTACCGTTTATTATTTAGGTGGAAACGGTCCTTCCTTGTAAGCCTGATTTTCTGCATCCCTGTAATGGGGCTCATGATTTACATGATGGTGATGGACAGTCACATGTCGGCCATGTCCATGGCTTCTAACCTGACTCAAGAAGAAATGGAAGCCCACCATCCACCAATGTTTCTGGAGCAGCAGATCCTTCCCGGGTTGTCAGTTATGAATTTGCTCTCCTTTTTATTGTGTGTCCCTGTACAGGTAAGTAGAAAGATATGTCAGTCACTCAGATGGTGGTATATAAATGTCATGCCCAAATTCCTTTTAGGTAGGTTAAGGATTAATTGCTGCACTTAATCTTCTTGAAACACTGACTAGTCTCTTTGGGAGAGTAAAATTAAGAGATCCTGTAGGGCTTAAAGTAGAGCGTGTGATTGTGTTGTTAGTCACCAGAAGGTACAGTGGGCTCAGTAGGCTGTGTACTTTAATGTTAAAATTTGATACTGAGTACCATATTCTCTCTCTGTTCCCACCAAAAAACTAACCTAGACTTAAACTTCCTTTATTTGTGTTAAAATATCAAGAAAATAGTTTTCCTTTCTTATTCTTATGGAAGAAAGTCAGGAATAATGTTTGCATCTTGACATTTGGAGCATCTCTGTCAAAGTTGTGGAATCAAAACGCGGGACACAAATGCAAAATAATCAAGGCTTCGCTGCAGTGTTTATTAGACAGTATGTACCAAAGGATAGTGGGAGACACTCCCCTACAGGCAAAATGGATGTCCTGATATTTATACAGTTCTGCAATAAGGGGAAGGGAAAAGAACGCATACACACACATATTCATATGATGATGCAGGCATGGCACCTAAACGAGCAATGCTTCTCAAGTTACTTCCTGCCCTGTTGTTGTCTGCTATCTACAAGGACAGAACAACTGCTATTTTTAAGGAAAGCAATAGTGTCAGAGAGGAAGAAACAAATTGGTTCAAGGTGCCAACCGCTCGGAAGAAGGCATCCTCCGTTACGTTGCTATGGGGATGTTTGTGATAAGGAGTTTACAATCAGCCTACTTCACACCAGCTTCAGGGGTGCTGCACATTCTTTTATGTTTCAATTTTATTAAGGCGATCCCATTTGTCTGAAGCCTCTGAAAAACTTGCTTTTTTCGCCCAAAGATACATTTTCCTCACAAAGTTTTTGTTTGTTTCAGTATCATTTTTCCTTAGTGTACAGTGGGGGGACCTTGCTTCCAGGTGAAAAGCCTCTAGCAGTACTAAACAAAATGCACTGCACAGCTATTCCGTTTTTTTCTTTCCAAACAGAACATTTTGGGGGCGGGGGTATGGGAAAGGATGGAAGTAGCAGGGAGAAAATGGAAAATAATGTTGCCCCTGTTTAAATTCTGCCAGTGAGGCAGAGCAGCTGCATAAGCAGAGGCTCACCTGGACCCCCCAGCTGCTCTGTCAGACGCCTCTTAAGAGTCTGCTGTCTGTCTGTCAAGTCTGGGGGAGATGGAACTTGGGAGAAGGTGCACAGGTGCCTCTTCGTTAGATGGCCATACCAAGGCTAGCTAAGAGAGAAGTGTCTGTGCATTTTCTCCTGAGTTTTGACAATGAAAGAGCATTTTGTTATCTGTTTGCTGTGTTTAGGTGCAAATATTATCCTGATGTTTGCTCTTCTTACAGTTCTTTGGAGGTTGGTACTTCTACATTCAAGCTTACAAAGCACTGAAGCATAAGACGGCCAATATGGATGTGCTGATTGTCCTGGCAACCACCATTGCGTTTGTCTACTCCTTTGTGGTTCTCCTGGTTGCAATGGCTGAGCGGGCAACAACCAATCCTGTGACTTTCTTTGACACACCGCCAATGCTGTTTGTGTTCATTGCGTTGGGGCGATGGTTGGAGCATGTGGCTAAGGTCGGGGGAAAACACCTGTTCCTCTAGTTCAGTGGAGTGGGAGGAGGGAGACAAAATGCTTTCAAATTGCCTGCCTCTTAGCAATGTTATGTTCAGTGTTTACCTATGTTTAACTCCTGTTTAGGTGTTACTGACAAATATGTGTTCCTTAAAATGGGTAAAGGGGGAGCCCCACATGCTGGCTGCCTCCCTCTCTTGCAGCCTTGCCCTTTCTGCCTTCTTGAAGAAGGTCTGGAAGGGAGCTATATGGCATTTGTGGGCATTCATCTGATCCATGATTGTGCTTCATGAAGCAGGAAGTCAAGGGAAGCAAAGGAGCAGCAAGGAGGTGAGGGGCCAGGCCATCACACAGGGCTCCATCTTCTAGTGACTTTAGCCCTCAACATTGCATCAAGCTGAAGGCCCAGAGATTAATTAAAGTTTTTTGTCTAACAATGCCTGGCATTACTAACTCTTGATAAACAAAAGTATTTCAAGCAGATGTCACTCTCCCGAAAACAAGTGCCAAATCAAAGGGAATATTGTGCTTTGCTTAGAACTTACCTAGGTTTTCTCTTTCCTTGCTAGGTTGTGAGGAGTCTTGGTTGAAGATGGCTTGTGTAACATGTGACTTTGTTGCTTGCAATGAATTTCTGTGGTGCTTTGAATGTAAAACGCTTAACTTAATCTTTTTAGGGTAAAACATCAGAGGCCCTTGCGAAGCTAATTTCACTACAAGCAACAGAAGCAACTATTGTTACTTTAGGCCCAGATAATATCCTCTTGAGGTATTACCATTTCCGTGGTCTTTTTAATGAACATTTACTGTATATGCCTCAGTGCTTTGTCCCCTGTAATTTCCTTACAGTCTTTATTTCTGTATTGCACCACCGAAGGCAAAATTCTGCCTTAGCAATTTAGTGTAAATTATAACTGTTTGTAAATTAGTCAAGAGTAGCAACGTGACATGAACTTGCATGTACTTACACACTCCCCAAAACTTAATTTCAGCTGGGGATTCCTGCACATCTGGCTAGCCTCCTGCAGATGAGGAAGCTTTTGAACGAGGATTTAAAAGAAAAAGGCATTCTGGTGTGCAGGAATTGACAACCTGAAGTGCTACCCAGCCTCCATCACTAAGTCTTGAATGTTCTGATTTCTTTGCAGTGAAGAGCAAGTTGATGTTGAACTAGTGCAGCGGGGGGACATTGTGAAAGTGGTCCCAGGCGGCAAGTTTCCTGTGGACGGCCGAGTTATTGAAGGACACTCCATGGTGGATGAATCACTCATCACAGGCAAGCTTGAATGGGTTTTCATGGGCACTAGACTCCAGGATGGGGGGTAGGGAAATGTTCAAAGAGTGCCCTCTGTTTATTTCTGCTTTATGTAGGTGAAGCAATGCCTGTGACCAAAAAACCTGGCAGTTCGGTCATAGCAGGTTCCATTAATCAGAATGGATCCCTGTTGATCTCGGCCACCCATGTTGGGTCTGACACTACTCTCTGCCAGATCGTAAAGCTTGTGGAAGAAGCTCAGACTTCAAAGGTACTTAGAATAACATGTTTAGGTTTCTATCCTGTTCATTGGCCATGATTCAAAACAGCAAGTTTGCAGCTTAAAAGTCAGCTGCACTGTAGGGTTCTGCAATATGCCAAACTGGTATATGCAGTGGAAATTAATTAAAATTCCGTGTCTCCTTTTCCTTTGGCCCTGCCAGTTCTTATACCACCAGCAAAGTGTGCGCTAAATACTTTTCTCACTAAAAATCATGAATGAGAGCTTAGTTATGAAGATGTGTATTATTTATTGCAAATGCACAGGCTAAAACCCAAACCAGCTCAACCTCAAAAAAGACTGCTAGAATTAATGTTGCTTCTTCTTCTCTCCTTCCCTTGCTTTAGGCGCCAATTCAGCAGTTTGCTGACAAACTGAGTGGCTATTTTGTTCCCTTCATTGTTGGTGTTTCTGTGATTACACTTTTCGCCTGGATTGTGATCGGATTTGTCAATTTTCAAATTGTGGAAACTTATTTTCCTGTAAGTCTCTTTTCTTGTTTTTCTGATTTTTTTGTGGAGAAATTACCTGCAAGATCTAATTAACCATTCCTTTCTTGAATATTGTTCATATTCTCTATAGTTTGTATGGTAGATCAGTTTGAATTCCAATAGCAAAAATTAGGAAATACCAGAGATACAGTTCAGATGCACTGCTTCATATATTGATGTTTTTAAAGTGCTGCTTTGCCTACATTACTTACATTTACATTTTTGCTGATTTTTACCCAATATTTAAATGTGATTTATGATTATCTTCTAAATGCTGATAATGTGGCTAATAAATGCCCCTGAAGATGTGGCTGGGAGATACCACACTTAAAAGGAGTCATGCATTTTAATAAAGGGGAAAACGATCTGTGCTTGCACAAAGGACTACTTATTTGATAGGGTCATAGAGTGGGAAAGGACCGTTTTGACCATCAGTTCCCTGCTTAATGAAGAATAAATTGTGTACAGGGGCAGTGCAACTTCAGACTTTCTGTAACATCTTTTTAACGCTGGATCACAACATTTTATTTAATTGTATTCATGGTTGGTGATAACATGGTTATCATTCTATCCTACTTTATACAGCTTTTGGAAGGTACAGCAAGAGGTAGAAGTAGATTCCAAAGCTCCAGGAGAGCCCCTGGAATGTTTCTCTTGGCATCTGCATCTAGCTTGATAGTTGAATGGCTGTTTGTACGATCAGGTGTGCCACTGGTCTTCGTAGGTCTTCACTAGACCTCTGAAATTATAGGGTAGGATAGCAGAATCTTCAAAGCCTGTCAGAGTTTCTCTCTGCCCCATCTTCTACCCAACAAAATCAAGGCAGAATTATTTTGAGTTTGTTTCTCACAGTTTCCTCTTTCTGAGTTGCTGTTACTCCCCCCTTAATGTTTCATTACCTTCTTCCCCCTTCCCAAGGCCAGATCTACGTTCTTTCACACACACACACACACACACACGCACATATATATAAAATCAAGACTAGGTTCACACATCACACAAATCTGTGGTCAGCTGAATAAATTGCACTTGGCTGGGTTCGTGCAAAATGCTAAACCATACAAACATAGTTTATGAACTGCCATGGATGAGTTCCCACATTATATTAATTTAAAACCAAAGGAACCACACTCAGGGCAGCACAAGATGTGACCTAGCCAAATTGTGAGTTCCAGCACTTTCTTTAAAATAAGTGCCCATTCATAAGTGCTCTCTCGCTCTCTGTCAACAGGGCTATAATAAGAGCATTGCCAAAGCAGAGGTAGTGATCCGCTTTGCTTTCCAAGCCTCCATTACCGTGCTGTGCATCGCCTGCCCGTGTTCCTTGGGATTAGCAACTCCAACTGCTGTGATGGTGGGAACTGGAGTAGGAGCACAAAATGGCATCTTGATCAAAGGTGGAGAACCTTTGGAGATGGCGCACAAGGTGAGAAAATGGAATGTCCTTTTTGGTTGAGTGATAAAGGCAAAAAGATCTTTTAGACATACAATACATCTTATTTTTGTCCAATAACGTTATGACATATCTTGCTCTTCTCCCCACAAAATATTGGATATTGTTCATGCCTCTACAGTAGTGTGGATGTATGTGTGTTTTGCAGGTTAAAGTTGTGGTGTTTGATAAAACGGGGACCATCACCCATGGAACTCCAGTGGTGATGCAAATGAAGATGCTAGTGGAGAGTAACTGGATACCACGAAAGAAAGTCTTGGCACTGGTGGGAACAGCAGAGAGCCACAGTGAGCACCCTTTAGGAGCAGCAATCACCAAATACTGCAAACAGGTAGAAGAGCAGAGATTTTGTGTGGTTAGAAATTGTCTTCACCAACACATTGAGGTACAGCTCCCATCATCTCTTGTTGGCATAGCAAAATGATGGATGCTGAAATCTAGTACATTTGGGGAAAGCTGCTAACATAGTCAGAGTAAACACTTCACCATTTACACAGAAACTTGGCTAGTGTCCTGCCCAAGAGAGTGGCAAATTTGAGCTCTTAGTGTGGTGTACTGCTGTCTTCTACTGCTTCCAGTAGGACTGGGCAAATGAATCCTACTCAGATGTGTGACAACTGGGAGAACTTGAGTTGTTCTCCCATTTTCTCATTCTTAGCTTAACTTACTCCTCAGGAGTGATAGGAGTATGGCAGGAAGTAAAGTGAGGATTAAGTGTGCTACCTTAGCTCCTTAGGAAAAAAGATGGGTTCAAATATAAGTCAACCACAGGCTGAACTGACAGTCACAGAGATCAAGATCTGTACTTTGCAAACTAATTCAGATGCTTCTGTTTACATAATTTGGAATTGCCTGCAGATGTACCGTATGCCCCTCTTGGAGGTCTTTGTCCCTTACATAGCCTCCAGATTTGGGAAGGTTGCTGTTGCTTCAAGTACTGCTATATTTTATTCCCGCACCTTTTATTGGAATCTGGATTTGGAACTCTTGTTTCAGATGCTGGCCATGCTTTTGCCCAGGTGAGTTTGCTGTGTCTCAGGTGTGGTGTGGTCGTTCCTTTTCTCTAGGAATTGGACGCAGATACCCTTGGAACCTGCACTGATTTTCAAGTGGTGCCCGGCTGCGGTATTAGCTGTAAAGTTACCAACATTGAAGCCCTGCTGTGTAGCAGGAGTAAAGATGTGGAAGAGACCAATGTTAGGAATGCGGCTCTGGTGAACATGGATGAGAAGGCTGAGGCCCTCATGCAGCCGGCCCTGATCATCGATGAGCAGTTGCCAGGTGAGTTCATGTGGGCTTGTGATGCATGTGTCCTGTAAATGAAAGCTGGTGTTGCCGGCAAGGATTTGGCCTTTGGAGAGATGGGGTGGGGCCCAGAACCAACTTAAGTTGTGTCTTCCGGTTTGTCACGTTAACATGCCTTGTAAGGCAGTTGTGTGATGGTGCTTCCTCATTCATTCCGTGTACATTCACAGCCAAACATGCTCACGTGAGTAGACTGTCACCTTGTTGCTCCAGCAGAAAGCCTACTCCTGGGCATCGATTTGCATCGCTACGGAGATATTCTGCTTTTCAGTTGGCACGAGTTACATAACGATGCCCATTAAATAACCCACTTCGTGTAACTGGAATAACAAGAGGATGTAAATGAAGCCTGGGGTCCTCTTTTGGTGGTGTTGACAGTCCATTTTGAAGGCCCAGAAAGCAAAGGGCAGCTGGGCAGAGGATTATCTTGTAGCTCCCCCTAGTCCTGAATAGCCCATTTTGGATGTTCTGAAGATGGACTCCCCTGTCTTTGCATATTTGCTTTGGTCTTATAAGGAAGCAGACATTTTCCAAGTTCAGATGTACAAGAAAATTGCTCAGGTGGAGAACTGAAAGTGGATGTGTTCAGCCCCTTGGCATGCACAACCCCTGTGCCCACTGGGGCTCTTTTTTCGAATTTTAAATCATGGTCTAGGGTGTGATCCAGGCTATTGTTCTCCTTACCACCTTTTTGAGGCCATTTTATTCTGTGAACCACCTGTCCACTGAAACAGATGCTACTGGCTTTGCATGATAGCCAAGCCATTCAGTGGCTACAGGGGTTTTCATTTCATTCTGCAAATGGGAGGGAAAGGTGTTTAAATGCTTTCCTCTTCTATTAACTTCCTGCACAAGGACAGCTGATTTTTCTGGAAGACGGCAAGGCTCAAATACGTGGGAGCATAACCAGGCATAAGATGACATCACTTACAACTTAAAACAGTCCAGCCAGGGTCACATTGCTTTGATTTTTAGTTTTTATTCACTGGCTGTAAGCATATTTATGGACAACTGTGTAATCAAGCTAGCTCAGGTCTCATTCATTTCTTATCTACCAATGAATGAAGGTTCTTACAAACTTGGCATGCATGAGCAGTGTCATTTATTATTAAATAAAAATCAGGAGGAGTCTGGCAGCACCTTTTCTGACTAACAAATGTTATTAAAAGGCATAAGATTTTGTGAGCTGCAGGTCGCTTCATCAGATGCATAGAATGGCTAGACTGTTGTAGAATTTAAATTACAATGAGATATGGAGTGGAAAGGAGAAGACCGGTTGGTTATGCAGATGCAGGATACATGGGAGACAGATTACCCAGTACCTTGTCAGTTAACAACTGTAATGTGTTAAAAACCCATTGTGTTTGTTGAGATCTTCAGAGATAACATGACCCTTTTTGGTGTATGTGAGTTCGGCAACCTCTCCTTCAACTATACTATGAAAGTCTCTTTTTTTCCCCCCAAAATGTTGACTTTGAGATCTCTTGTGGAGTGTCCTGAGAGGTTGAAATGCTCTGATACTACTTTGTCCTTGTTTTGAACCCTGATGTCAACCTTGTGCCCATTAATCCTTTTGCCCACGTGTTGACATGAGGGGTAGCTCATGAAATCTTCTGTCTTTTAACAACGTTTATTAGCTTGAAAAGGTGCGGCCGACTCCTTCAGATTTTTGGCTATCCTAGACTAACATGATACTTATTGTTAAATAATTCCTCTTTTTCGGATAATGGCTATTTTCCTTTCAGCCACATGGACTTCTCACAAATATTCTGTTCTCATTGGAAACCGAGAGTGGATGTCTAGGAATGGCCTTCTTCTCAGGAACGATATTGACAACGCAATGACTGAGCATGAACGCCGAGGCCACACGGCTGTTCTCGTGGCTGTGGACGGTAGGCCTAATGTTGGATTTGGATATTCAGTATTTCACTTTCGGAAGGCCGGGAGGAGTGCAGGGGAGGAGTATAATTGGATATGTTGACACAGTTGGGCGGGATAGAAATGTTTATCAACGGGGGAAAATCATTTCCAACGATGCATTTCATAGTGTAAATATTCTAAATAATGAACAAAACACCAGAGTAGTTCTGAGTCACTATTTAGGAGCAAGATGTACCTGTTACAATAAACATAAATGCACAATCCTTTGGCAGGCTAAAATTTGGTATGTTAACCATTGTCATTCACTATCCTCGCATAAATAATGCAGATATTTATACAATCAAGTAGTTTTGCCTTAAAGTATTCCGAATGATTCCTACTAAACTCCTTCAGAAATAAAGTTTGTTTCATTGTAACATTTCAAGCATACGTTGGCCTACATTGAATGCCACAATAAACCCGGTTTAATGCAGTGTGCATAAGCGCATTATCTTCTTGCTCCCATTTGCTTAAACAAACTCAGGTTTACTCTCCATGGAGGTATGTCATGATGTGCAAATTAGGCCCTTGGACTTGCCCCTCACCAGACTCCTAAACCATAGTTTCCTGTGGCCGTATATTTCTAATGGCTGATTTTTTTGGCGCTGTGATTTTTCACATTTTTCCTGCAGTAAAAGGCTGAAATAATTATTAGGTTTAATACATTTATTTTGCTTTAAAAAGGAGAAATCTCTCCCCTCTTGATGCTTCACTGCTGTCCCTATCTCAGCCCCCTGGAAGTGGAAAAAAGAATAATTGCCTGTGCATTTGTAGAAGGAAGATCTGTGGCTTGTTTCGACATTTACAACTGCCAAAAGAGTAAAGTAACTCTTGAGCCTTTCTTTCCTTGGCGCCCCGACTGATTTTGATGCCTGAATCAAGCCTAACTGAGGTTTTTTTCTCTTTTAATCCTAACCGCATATTTCACTTTAAGTAATTTTGGCTCCTGGAAATCTATGATGTGCACATTCTTATAGATGCAACACTATATTTTTTTAAAATGTATGCTCAGTAGTTATAAAAAGCAAAACATTTATTGTTGTTATTATTTAAACTTGTATGCCGCCTGACTCTCAACGACTTTTGGCAGCTCACAACAAAGAAAGAAAGAAATTATAATAAATCAATAAAGATAAAAACATAAGTAAGTCAGATCCCAGTAAGTTTAGGGGACCAGAATTTTTCTGATTTTTTTTTCTTCCCCAGACCCACCCCTTCCAGCACACACAACACTGACTAGATAAGGTGGAAGAACATCTTTCATTGCATTTATTTCAGCAGGAAAGAGAGGCTAAAAGAGAGAGGAGGAAGGAAAGGACATGAGGAAAAGTAGATCTATCTTTTCTGGAGGCTTCCATGCCCTCATGGGAACATGTTTGTCTCCTAGGGGAGCTGTGTGGCTTGGTAGCCATTGCTGACACTGTGAAGCCTGAAGCGGATCTCGCCGTTCGGACTCTGAAGGCGATGGGCTTGGAGGTGGTTCTGATGACGGGGGACAATAGCAAGACCGCTAGGTCTATTGCTGCCCAGGTACGCTGCTGGATGCCTGGAGGTTCTCTTGATGCCTCCAAGGTTTCACAGCACAGTCAAATTATGTTGTATAAATATTCCCTTAATGTATCTTACATAATGCTACTGATCATTGGAGAAATGCCTTCGGAAGATCAGAATCTCTTGGAATGTAATGTGGCCTTGGCTGACCCCGATTCCAGAGCATGCAGCTCTTGTCTCCTTCCTTTGGGATTTTCAGTTTTCCTCTCTTTTGCTTTTAGGTCGGCATCACAAAAGTGTTTGCTGAAGTGCTCCCCTCCCACAAAGTTGCCAAAGTGAAACAGCTGCAGGAAGAAGGGAAACGGGTGGCTATGGTGGGTGACGGCATCAATGATTCCCCGGCCCTGGCCATGGCCAATGTTGGCATCGCCATTGGCACAGGCACAGATGTGGCCATAGAAGCAGCCGATGTGGTTTTGATCAGGGTAAGTGGTGCAATGGAGGGAAGGCCCTGCCTGCCAAAGAGCAGAGGCTAAGCCAGCATCAGTTTGTGCGTTTCCTTTCCTGACTGTATGGGGACAGTTGTGCGGGAACCCTGGCGTTGGAAGGGGCTTTAGGTCAAGCCCTGCTTGGTACAGGAATCCATGTTAAAAGTGTCCAGACTCTCGTAGGACACCTGCAGTGAAGGGAGTCCACCACCTCGCTGGTTGTTCGTTCCACTGTTAAACTGCTCTGACTTATTCTTACTCGGAAAGTTCTCATTGCTGGTACCTTTCCTCCATTTTAATAAAGAATGGAGCATGAATTGACAATGGAACCACATTTTGATGAAAAGCCCCCAGTGGGTAGAGGGGTGGTGCAAAGTGAGCAGGCCAGAGCCAGGATTTTTAAAAATTATTTTATTTTTCCTATTTTGGGAGAGAAGATTGTTTGTTTATTTATTGTTTGGGGCCTATTCTAGACTTAGGCATCCATTTTTTGTGTTTCCTTCTCCAGAGTGAGAGCTGGAAACCCAGCAGTCTAATGGGGGTAGGTTAAGGGAAAAGGGATGCAAAACAGGGGCAATAGGTTGTCCCCCTTGCCCCTTAAATTTTATGATTCTGTATGTACTTTTTAAAATGGTCCAGTCGTGTTGAGTTAGCTGGGGTCTAGAAACTGATCTTGTAATATTCCTTGCTTCGTTAAGATACCAAGAATCTATCTTAAGTGTTGATTGCTAAAATTAATCACATTAAGTAATTTCTGGAACAACTTATTCTGCAGAATGATTTGCTGGATGTGGTGGCAAGCATAGATTTATCACGGAAGACTGTTAAAAGGATACGGATCAACTTTGTCTTTGCTCTCATTTACAACCTTATTGGTATTCCTGTTGCTGCTGGTATGTAACATTTCTTAGTGTTAAAGTGCTGTTCGGTATCCTCCATAAAGCAGTCTTTAAATGTGTGTACCTCTACAGGTAGTCCCCAGTTCAAGAACGAGGTCTGTTCCCAAGGTCTGTCCTTAAGTCGAATTTGCGTGTAATACTGTATTAGGAATATTGTGTAAATGAACTTGAACCATTTTGTATTTAACTCAAATTTTGCTACAGTAGGCTCCGTTCTTAACTATGGGTCACCCGTAACCCGGGCGTTCTTAACCCAGGGATTCCCTGTAATAAATAAAGCAAAAAGGTGCGGGAGATGGTGCCTGAGGAAAAAGAAACATTAAGACGGCTTTGAATTCCAGGCCTTCCTTCCGCTTGTATCAGTCAGTTTTAGATAGAGAAGGGAGGGATCCTTGAGTTTAGCAAGACAAAATAGAGACAACTAAGAAATGTATTCTGTGCAAGAGGCCTCCTAAATCCCCTCCTCTTCAATTTGGGCTCTAGTTTCTCTTCTGCCCCCTGTCCCCCCTCATGAAAATGCTTCACACTCGGCGTATTCCCGTTGGGGTTTCCGAGTTTGAGTTTCGGTGCTCCCTTGACTCTTGGCATGCTTGGTCCTAGGCGTCTTCCTGCCAGTTGGTTTGGTTCTGCAGCCTTGGATGGGCTCTGCAGCGATGGCAGCATCCTCCGTGTCCGTCGTGTTGTCTTCTCTGCTGCTAAAACTGTGAGTAGCGCTGCAGGCAGGAGGGGAGGGGCACTGTGACTCATGCAGAAGAGGGTGAGAAAGCCAAGCTCCTGCCTCTTCATCTTCAGCCACTGTGGCTCAGCGTTTCCTTTTTATTACCTCCACCAGCTAAAGACCATCCAGGGCTTGATCTTTAGCTAAACATGGAGTAGAAGCCAGGGTACTCTCTGGTTGTCTGCCTTCCTTGGGGGCCACATCCTTTAGCGAGAGGGCTGGATGTCAGTAGGGACAAAGTTGCCCCCTGGATTAGAGCTGGTGGGTTGATTAAACTGGAGCTTTAGGAGAAGCTGCGTGCAAAATCAAGCGAAGCAGGCGTGGGGCCAGAAGAGGCATTCTCTGTGGGGGAAAGGGAAGCATGCTCCTTTCCAAGCACTTTGTGCCATCTGTGGACAACGAAGGCTTGTAATAATGCTAGGCCGAACAAGTCAAATAGCTATTTAGTGAACGAAATGCTTAAAACAGGTGGGAAAATGTTTCGAGGCTACAGAAGGCATGACCAGGAAAGACATGAAGTTTCTTGACTGGGGGTGATTTTGTGGGAGACTTGTGCCCTTCAAACTCTGCCACAAGCTTTGCCCCTAGCCTCCCCCCAAAAGGAAAAGGTGCCAAAAACGGGAGGCTCCGGGGACTACATGCCCCAGGAGGCTGCTTATGGGCAATCCCAGGCTTGAGTTTTAAAGAGCCACACACCCATCTAGGCTGTATCCCCCCTTTAGCTACAAGAAGCCTACCTGTGAGAAGTACGAGCGCCACGCCCGCACCCAGGTGAGGCACAAGAGCCCTTCAGAAATCAGTGTCCACATTGGGATCGACGACGTTGGACCAGGATCTCCGAAGCTGAGCCTCATGGACCGAATTATCCACTACAGCCAGGCCTCCATCAACTCCCTCTTCTCCGACAAGCGCTCCCTCAGCAACGTTGCCCTGAGCGAACCCGACAAGCATTCACTTCTGGTTGGGGATTCCCGGGAGGAGGACGACACAACCGTCTGAAGACGTGGAGCAGGGCCTTCTCCCACTGCCAGATGTCTGGACTACGCTGTGAGCGGTTTGGACATCTCTTGGGCTTGACCTGCTCAGCTGAATAAGGGCACTGTTGTTTTTTTCCAGCGGAGATCGGTGTGTTCTACACGGTTTGCCCCTCTTAGTGGGCCAGAGCGTGACACGATGGAGCAAAACCTGGAGCTACAGTACTGAGTTGCTTTTCAAATTGATTTTCTGGTAAGAAGCCAAGATAACGACATCCTCTGGTTGCTACCAGCACATGGTTTCTAGGTTTTGTTGCTGTTCTTCCATTTGCCAAAGAAGCGTGCCTTACTCCTGCTGCCCTGCAGCACAGGCATTCTCAGAAAAGATCGTCCCTGGAATTGGAAAAGAGCGGAGCAGCCCTCCTCGCGTAGGCCGCCCCTCTTGGCCAACTTCAGAGCAGGACCTTCCTCCTCGCGAGGCTGTTGGTAAGCCAGCCAGGCCCTGGCACCTTTCTGGGCTGCCCTCCCAGCCAAGGGTGTATCAGCAGGACCCCGTCTCATCCTGCCCTCCCTCCTTTGTGGCTTGTGAGGAATGTGGGGTTCGTTGGTAGGACTTGGTGTCAGCGTTGCCCTTCTCCTGCCTGGCTTGCTAGACTCAGCTGCGCCAGCTCTGTCCACTTTCTTCCTTTCTTGCTCTGTGTGGGAGCCCAGCAAAACAAGCCTTTCGTTTTTCCTAAGATAATCCTCCAGACCCCCGAAGAACTGAAACTGCCCAGTTGCCTCCATGCTGTTCCCAGCCCTCCTCTCGGCTCTCTATCATGTTATGGATAATTTGTAAGGTTTTGCACAGCTAGGAGGACTCAGAGGCTCTTGCCCCTCCCTGCAAGGGCTGTTCTCCTCCATAATAAACTTCCAAACACAGGTTTGGCTTGATTATGAACAGCTGTCTGGGGAATGAAATTGGCCTTAGCACATAACCTCGTTGCTCTTCATAATTGTGGATTGGGAGGTGCAAGATTTCAGCCCTGTAAAATGGTGTAATCAGCGAGTTGAACTTGCATATTAAGGTGTCCTTTTACCTGATAGTGGACTTGTCTTCATTTAAAGCATTTATAAAGTAGTGAGATATACCTATCAGGATCAAAATTCAGGGAAAAAAAATCTTGTTTATTTAAATTACAATTTTGTTTAGGTCACAAAATTTAGGCATCTTTAATACCCCTTATAAAATGATTTGGAATAATCATGTAGAGAAACACTGCCTAAGCCATAGCTTTTTAAAATCATTTCTCCTTAAATCCTTCAGCCGTCCTGAGTGCCCTCCGAGAGATAGGCTCGGAAAATTGCGACGGTGAGGATGACGACGATGCAGAAGTGCAGCACCGTCTGCAGAATTCTTTGTGGATCAGTGAAAATCCACTTCCAGATGTCTCCTGCGCTATTTATCTATCTTTTCTGGGAGTTGCACACAGAAAACACCCTCAGTGCCCCATTGCATCCACTAAGGATTCCAGGGGTGAGGGGGAAAAAAGCAGGACTGTGTACAAAAAAAGTTAGGGTGAATGAAAGATTTCCTCCCCCAACACGTTGGAGGCAGGTTTTAGCTATCAGGCCCCTAATTCTGATTTTAGCTGGAGTCTGATCAGGTTGTTAGGGAAAGAGGCCAATGTCTGGCTCGCCCCTTTCCCAAGCTAGCCCTTTCCAGGTGCGCGTGGACCGTCTTGCCAAGAGTGTGGCAGCTTTCTTCGTTCCGCTTGCTGGCCAAAAGCCTCGCAGCGAGACGGGCGCCCAGTGCCCTGCTGCACTGACAGGAGTAACCCTCCGCTTTGGGGAGGACCACGTGGAAGGCCCAGGCCCCTTGGGGAACAAGCAGGCCTTGGTGCTTTTAAGCCGAACAAAGTAAGCTTTGGTTTTTTAAATATAAAAACAAAATTTTATTCCGTTCACAGAGCAGGGCATATCTTAGTACAGTATTAATGTAAGAATGATACACCTCAGTTTAGTCAAGTGAATATTATTAGGTAGTGTGAAAACTGAAAATTCACACGGTGAATTGAATTTTGTCATTTCTGGAGGCAGTCATCCTTTTTTTCTGAATATCCCCCCTCATCCAGTTCTCTGCCATCATGGCATGACTTGGTAAGATTTTAAGAGTCCTTATCTTGATATTTTTGTGAATAATATTTTATACTTGGCTTTGTTTCAAAGAATCAAAAGTTGCTTCTTTGCCTTGAATGTACAGTACTCATCGAAAATGTAAAGTTATTCTTTCTGTAAATAAGTTTCTTTTCTGCCTCAAGCACACTTGTTTATCAGGAGTCTTTATCAGTCAAAACCGCTTCAAAAGCAGATTTGAGAACAAGCTATTCATTGCATTTAATTGTATTTATTTTTGCTATTTGCTTCTGGTAGGTTCATGTATCTGAAACGCGTTTTATGATTTATTTAAATTATTAGACAACACACACACAGACACACACAAACATAAAGGCAAGTCAGGATTTCCCCCCATGTCTTTTTCCATCTTCTACTTGGCTTTTAAATTCAGAGGTTTCTCTTTCTCTTCCCTTCCCTTCTTGGCTGGGTGTCCGCTCTTTTTAAAATGCTGCATGTCCACCTCTCCCTTTGGATATTCACATGTGGGCATTTCAAGCAGAGCATTTAAAAAATGCTGAAAAATTGCTTTGGAGAAGCCACGGTTAGCGATGGCGCAGTGATCCCGCATGCTGGCTCACGCTTTATAATTTCCTTTAGTCTTTTAGAAGATCTTCCAAGCCAGCCTCAGTCAGCTTAAAATGCACTGGACTTGCTTCCCATCGTTTCTGGATCCTGCATCCAGCAGCCAGGCTGGCTGGGTATGATGCAAGTTGCAATCCAAGCGTTCTTGCAGGCACCCAGGTCATAAAGGGGGTTTGATTCCAGAGCAGGCTTCTCACTCCAGTGACATATGTCTTATGCAAACCTACTTCAACGTGTTCAAAATTAAAATGATGCCGAGTTTGTTTTATTGCATTGGTGGTGGGGATGTCTGAAGGTGTCTGTTCACAGGTTCCATGGGGCAACTATTTATGCTGCTGCTGCCTGTCCTGGTCTTGTTAAGTGGGTCTATCTGACACAGGCACCCATTGACTAAACTTTTGGTGTAAATTCAGAAAACAGCAAAGAGCCACTCTGCAGATCCCTTGTGATGAGCAGAACTGCCTTTCCGTTTTTCTCCAGGAAAAAAAATTAACTGCTTCTAAAAAAAGAAAAAAGCTAGAACTGTTTTTGCCTCCCTGAGCCTTGGACATGGCTTGGTTCCTCCAGCCAAAAAGCAGAAGTCCCAGATCTGCTGATTCCATTTTCAGGAAATAGTCCAAGGTTGTTGAAGGAAAGCCAAAAAGAACTTTAAGCAACCCTGTGCAATATTAGTTTATGATACATTATATATTACTTGGGGAATATGTCACGATCTTCTCAAGAAAGTGCCTTCACCTCTATAAATGTTATACTGGAACATTAAATGTTGTGTTGAATTCTTCTTTTAATGATACTTTCTGTTTAGAAACATATATTGTAGCTACATATTCTCATCCATCAGAATTATTTCTTGCATTCTTGAATATGTTCTCCTTTCATAGAATGAAGGAGAATTTTGGAAACCTCGTTGCCCAATGATGTGCCCAACGGCAGGGTCCCCTGCTCTACTATCTCTGACAGATGGCCATCCAAATCTCTGGTTCAAATACTTCCAGTAAAGGAGAGCACACTGCTTCCAAAAGCAGAATGATCCATGATTGATCCATTAGGAAACGCTCATCCTGGTGTCTGGATTAAATCAACTTCCTTGCATTTTAGCCCCCTTGTTTCTCGTCCCGTCTCCTGGAACAGCTCTTAACAATTCTGCCTTTTCTTCTGCATCTCAGCCCTTCAAGTACATGAGGAAAGCTGTTGCGTCTCAAGAGAAAGTTGCGCATACCCAACGTCTCTAACTGTTCCGCCTAAGTTTTTTCCTTCCAGGCTCCCTATAATTGTTTGCCTTACTTGTAACACCCCTCATTCAGAATTAGTCCTTGTGTACTGAGCACCTCCTGTGCTTAAGTGAAAGGAAGACTAGATTTTTTTTTCAGGAAGAGTTTAATTTTGATATGGGAGGATCATCTTTGATGTGCTGCAAATATGGTAATGGAGGCAGATGAAGGGGTTTTTTTTATCTAGTCTTCCTTTAATGGGGAAGAGATCATCTAAAATTTGAGGCCATGTTCCTTTCAGGTAAATGCATGAAGTGCAAACTTTAGAGCAGGGTGTGCAACAGGGTAAATTGCAGGCAGCAGGTGAATGGGTTGCTTATTGGGCCCGGCCTCCCCAGTAAGGCCAAATAGCAGCAGTATCGGTGGTGGAGAGAGTTGGCTGTTCAGTTCAGCAGAATCTGGAGGGCCACAAGTTCCCCACCAGGAGGCTCCCAGAAAATTTCATAATACGTTTTTCCTTGATTTTACTAAAGAGAACCAACAGTGCAGAAATATTGCTCAAGAGAAGAAGCATCAATACTTCATCAGGTTTCTGGCCGTCTTTGTCAAAATCCTTCCATACTTACAGGTAGACCTCAGTTAACGATGGTAATTGGATCAGGAACTCTGTTGCTAAGCAATGTGGTCATAAAGCACGATGTCATGTGACCATGCTAACTTACAACAGCAGTTCCAGTTACCCTTGTTAGGTGAATCCCACACGGTAATTAGGCATGATGTCACATGATCACCATTTGCGAACTGCTGCTGGCTTCTCCATTGGCTTTGCTTGTCAGAAGCCGGCGATGGCCGTTAACCGAGGGCTACCTGTATATGGAAGCTGAAAAAAAATCTTAATCCTTGAGGCTTTTTTGAAAGGAGAGGATCCCTTTTCTTTTAATGCTTTGCTATTACATGGGCTCATTTTTAGGTCACTTGATTTCTTTATCTGTGACTCATAACTATAGATTTGTATTGACTCCACACAAAAACATGAAATTAAAAGTATGTCAGTTGCTATATCCCACTTAAAAGTCTCTCTGAATGCTCTTCAGAAGAAGACTGTTTCCCCCGATTTTCTGAAGGATGAAAGAGGGGGGCTATCCTGATTGATTGGAAGGGGGCAGATTGTTCTTAGTGAGCAGAGGGGGCTGCCACTGAGAAAGCCCTCCAGGTTCAACCCTGGGCTCTCATGAGGAATGGGCACCCGTAGCATTCCGGGTTAGATGCGGCTAGCTGGAAAATACAGTCCTGGAGGAAACAAGGGCCCAAGCTGTGAGGGGCTTCATAGGTGCCCTCCAACACCTTCAGCTGGGTCTGGAAACCTACCAGCAACTAGGGCGGCCCACACAAAATTGGAGCTGTGCTGCTGCCCCACCTAGGACTGGGTTAGCAAGCAGGCAGCTGCATTCTACGCCAGCTGGAGCTTCCAGGTTGGCTTCAGGAGCCTGGGAATGGCCTTGAAGGACAGGAGGAGAGGCCACTACCAAGGCGGCAGTCAGATAAGCAGGGCTTGAGCCCAGGCTAAGAAACGAACTTGGGAAATGGCTCAGACAAACTCCTCCCTAGTTCACATGAAGATAATGTGAGGGAGGGGGGAAGCACATTCAGACTTGCAAGATTCTGCTGCTATAGTTGTTCCAATAAAAGTAGCCTTGACTCATATGGCATTGGTTTATTAGTCTGGTCTACCCTGTAGGGCTGACACAGCCTCACATAGGTAGGAGAGGAACTGCTGTAAAACTGTCTTCAGTTCCCAACCCTTGCAATCAGCCCCAAAGGACAGCATGATCAGTGGTATCAAATGTCACTGATACAAGCAGAGGGGTGTGCCACTCCCATCCTAAGCCCTGCTATCAACTGTTCTCAAGAGCCACCAACACTGATTCCAAGTCAGGCCCAGATAATCCATCTCACCCAGGACATGTCCTCCAGATGCATGACAAACCACGTACAGTGGCCAGCAGAGCCCAGAAGGGAATGAGTTACCTCGAATAATGGTAGTGGCCAGCATTTTGCAGACACATTGAATGCAGAGAAATATTGGAGTTTTGCTGTTCTTAACTTGCCACAGTGTAAGCCCAAAAGTGGTTCATAGCTGTGGCTGGACATTTTGTTCCTTCCCAGTGTTGTGCCAGTTGTCTCCTCAGGTGCTTCATCTCCTTCATTATCGATGGCAGAAAGCCTCTTGGTGGGAGCTTAGCAGAACAGCTCCTGAAGTGTGCGGCCTGCATGGAGTAAACTGAGCAGGAATGTACTCACATACCCAGAGCGGGCTTTCCTGACAAGCCACCCTTCCCCATTCTGGGGCCGTACAGGTGAGTTCGGAGTGCAGCCCCACTAGCAGAGACATTTCCTGGAAGATGGGATCAGGATTATCTGACCCCATCTTCTAGGAGATACTTCTGCTAGTGGGCTTGCAACTCACTGCCACCAGTCCCTAGATACGTCCTTACATATCTAGGATTAAACCCAAGGAATGGGAGTTACCAGGCAAGGTGGAACCCAGCAGTGCCTCCTGCTTTGTACACACACACATCAATAGAGAGTTGCCTCCATTTCCAAACTCGCTATTTGCCTAAGTCGTGGTCTCGGGATTAGCAACTTTGTGTGTGCTGGGAAGCCAAGTGTGGTTAGTGTTTGTGGCCCATCAGGAAATCTCTGGGGGAGGAGGCTGCACCAGGAAGTGAAAAGAAATCCCAGAAGACAATAACCCAAAGCCTGAGTAGCGTTGCCGAAATGCCTGCACGGAGGCATCCGCTAATCTCAACTCAACAGACTTGGCTTAGGAAGCAGAGGGTCACAACCAGGGCGGCACAAAATTGCTGAAGAGAGAAATTTGCAGCCCTGGAGTTGCAAAGCGTGCAGAGCGGAGGTCACACGTGCTTCCTGCCCCTGGTTCTGAATGTTTCAACCATCAGAAATGGAACAACAGCCCCAAACAACCTGCAACAGCAAAGAACAGGAAGCTATTTTCACAGTGGAAATCCACTGTGAGGCTGGCACAGAGGAGCCGCACTGACTACACCCCGCTGCAGCAAGTGTACCTTAAGTCGGTTCGGCTCTTCAGGCTCACTAAAGCGACATAAAGTGCCTTGAGGCGAACTCAGTGCCTTGCTTAGACACATCTGTGCAGTGTCCTTGGCATGCCGTAGACATGGTTTGCTGCCACCTTCTGGGGCATTTGTGGTGCCAGACACCTTTGGAGCCGTCTGCCTTTCCAGAGAGGGCAGCTGGCGCCGGCAGGGTCCAGCATCAAGGAACTGGGCAATAGCCCAGTAAACAATGCTCGTACGTAAAGGTTCAAATGATAGCAAATACGGACAGAGAGACAAAAACCGATATCTGAAAACTCGCTGTCGGCCAGATGAAGGGACCCGTGTAGTCCCACCGGAGCCAGAGGAGGGAAAACAAGCCCGAACCCAGAAACGGATTAATTCAAGACCCTTGATAACGTGTTGAGTAAACAGACTTTCTCACACACCAGCTTGGTTCCCACATGATGCTAAGCCATTGTTTGCTTACTGTGTCAAAAAAGCCGCAATGTATTTCAAACTACATTTTTCAAAGGACAAAAGCAGACTAAGTCAAAAAGTCACACTTGTGGCTTCAGATTGTGTGTGTGTGAAGGCAGCCCACATCCTTTCCCCTTTTAGTCCACTCTTCTGTTCTTCCAAAGGACAGGCCCTCGTCTCAGAGATGCCCACAAGAAGGATGGGGGCGGGTAGAGTTACGGTAACTAGCACTGGGAGGCAGACTTCCTCTGATGACTAGTAGTTCTTCGTTGCCACCCTCCTAGCGGATTGGTTTAACCCTCTCTCAAAGCCAGACAAATTGGATGGAATTGTGGATGAATTCCAGAGTTTTAGGAGACAATCTGTGAAGAAGCCCTTCCTTTAGTATGCCCTGAATCTCCCTGCCCCCAATTTGATTGCATGAAGTCAAGAAGGAAAAACCAAATCTATTTCTACTCACCAGCATAACTTTATATCCATTTATCAAGTTTCCCTTGGCTTTTTCTTCTAACCCCCAAGCCCCCGGAGACTGAAATTTTAGAATTGTTCCACCCACTTAATCTGTCTTGATTGCCTCCTTTTCCCACTCAGTGTAGAGCCAGACTCAGTGCCATGTTCCAAATGTGCTTGTACTGCTTATTTGCACACAGGCATTACATGCGTATCTATCATGCGATTGCCGTTCATTTTAAGCATCATTATGCAAAGACAGGGGGAAAGGAAATGTAGCTAAACCCCACCATTCACGGTACGTCTCTTGACCTTCCTTATCCTTTCTTCCACCATGTTCCGATACCACTTCATACTTTGTATTTTGTTCCTTAAACTTCTCACCTCTTTCTTCTGAAGATCTCATCAACTCCATGCAACCACAGCCCTATCATGATCACTTGCTCTTCATAAATGTGTTCTGTGATTCAGTCTTCCTTCATTTTCCCCGTATGCCGAAACCAACTCAAAACGCCTTTTTCATCGGGTCACTCATTTTTGTATACAATCCACATTAACCACCCATTCATTTTTGATCCTATCTCTTTTGATTTTAACACATATACATCTTAAATACCCCATTCTCATTGTATTCAACTTAACTTTATGTTTCTCCTGACATACCCAACTCTCACTTTCATGTAATAAAGTGGGCGGAGGCTCTGCTGCCAGCCATTTTCTCTTCGTACAATGAACATTCATTCCTCACAACAGACGTACAACCGCTAGCTTTCTGCCAGCATTTGCATACCTCAGAAAAGGCTTCATACACTTCTCCATCTTCAACTGATATTCACCAAGGTACACAGGTTCATCTAACTTTTCCAATATTCAAGTTCACTCCATTTTCCTTGTCACGCCTTGGTCTTTGATACCTTAATTGTCCAATCCATGAACCTTATTCCATCATATCATGCAACATTTGCTGCAAATCAGCAAAAGCATGGCATAACCTGCATACCAAAATATATGTGGGTTCCTCCTAATGGGTGGGATGTGAGCAACAGTATTGTTCGCTTGCAAAACAGACTTCTGGTTATAGATCCTAGCTTGCATAGAATATCAAGAGTATGCTTGGGGTAAAACTGGACTTTGGGCCTCTGTGTGGTGCAGGTTTGACTAAGGCTGGTAACTTTAACCTACACCTTCCCTTATCTTACCAAAGAGTGTTATTTGAAAGCATGATGCATTTATGCAGGCATTACTGTATTGGCATTTTAATTTTCTGTTGTTTTTGTAATGATTACCGATGCAGAATTTCCTCTTTTTACTGTAACTTTGTACTGAGTCAATGTTTTTTTTTTTAAACAGGTACCACAAACCTCTATTGGTACCACTTAGTTCATGCAATACATTCAGCTGTAATAACTGCTAATATAATTTTGTTCTGTGAATCAAGCCATTATAGCTTATAAACCAACTCCAAGTGCTGATGAGCACAGGAATGGTTTTTCCATGTTCTGCATGAATGTCACGGATCAACACTTAAATGATACAGCAATATTTCTCCATTAGAGGGAGCTAAAATGGCTTGATACATCTAAAAAAAGGAAATCTTACAAAAAGAGGAAATCTTGCTTTTTGCAGTGCTGTATCAGAGAAGAGCAAACAATGGAAAGCAGGAGAGCAAGCAGAGAAAGGATCAAAGCAGATAAGGATGGCTATTTATACTGAATGATTGAATTTTGCTGCCTAAGAGACAGTGTGATGCAAACTGAAGTCTACAACACTTACTCCTTAATTCAGAGCTTAAGTTAGACTCAGTCATCTGCTTGCCTGGCACACTTCAAAATAATTTTGTTTTAGTGGTTTGGTACAATATTTAATTTTCAGGAATTGGGTTTGTTTGCATAACAAAGTAGCTAAAATGGGTTGGTATCTTTCGGCAGCTTGAGGGAACATAATTATAGTCTTCCATGTTATGTGAAAATCTGAGGCCACTGTATTCAGTCCAGTTTTGCAAAATAGACTTCATTTGAATTATTTGAATGATTTATTTGGCATAGCAATTGTGTTTTGCTGAAATTTTGTATACTGTGTGAACCCAGCCAGTGTGAAGATTGTTTCACTTTGCCTCCTGAGTTTTCTTCTCAGATTAGTACCAATGTTGAAGAAGGTAGATGTTGAACAAAAAATCAAGAGATGCTAATCCTTTTTCCGCTCAGATGTATAGGAAGTGCAACTTGCAACTTCCCTGTAAGCAAGCAAGCACTGGGTGTTCTGGGAATTGAAATCTGAGTGTGCTGGCTTGGGGAAGGCTATTCTAAGGGAACTTGTATCATTCATAAGTGACAATCTATCCACTGAATATTAACTGTTCACAAACCTGAATTTCTTAAAGTAGCAGAACATGAAGAGATTTGACAGACACCAGGTTCATGCATCAGGAAATCATAATATGGTTTGGTTTCCAAACACTGTGTGCTCTTGTGAGCCCGGCTATTTTTTTTTTTTTTTAAATAATTGCACTGAGCCATAAAAATGGACAAACCTAGCCAACTGTGGCTTAGTCAAGAAAATATTATTTACAATGATTTGGGAACCCCACCATTAAAGGCTCTCTCCTAGTTCTTCCCTTCTAACTCAACATATTCCAAGATAAAAGTATGAGAAAGGGGCAATCACAATTTTGATGCTGTCGGTCCCTAAAAAGTGGTTTCTGTGGTATTCCTCTCTGCTTGAAGAAGACGGTGTCACATTTAGGTTGCAGGATACTGCAGAACTGAGAGTAGGCCCACCTCATTCATTCCCGGGGTGGGAAAAGGCTCTTGCCAGGGTGGTCAACAGCACTTAATGGCCCAATCCGTCTAGACTTCAAAGTACACAAACAGGGAAGAGCTTTCTGAGATTGAAAGCAGCAGCAGAACTGTTTGGGTGGTTTAAGAATTTGCTTCTTCTTTGAGACTTTTTCATACCAGGACCTCAAGTTAGGAATCATGCCAATTTGCATTGTCCAGGCCAAGGCCCCACTTGGTTGGTTGGCTGGCATGCTCCATGTGGTTGGCCATCACAAAAGAAATTCTATCAGGTTACCCTTTTCTCTAGCAACGCACCCCCGTATCAGGAAAACTCTCCCTTGTTAAGCTCGTGGTGGTTGGTTGAAAGCAAAGGAGGAGAATCTGGTAAGCTTCTTCCGGTGTTGGTTAAGCAGCCGCACATGTCCGCTCACCCCTACTTGGGCCAATTTACAAAGGCTGATGGAGAATGGCATGTTTTCTGGTGGCGGGTAGTTGACTTCATACTTGCCTCATCCCCACTGTGCCCTGTTGAAGTGTTACTATCTGTATCTAAGGCTGCCAAAATTCTCACCGAGGAGACCCTCAAGTGGTAGTTTCTCGACTGGAAACACACCACACAACACTAAACTTGCATCAATGATTCAGGGATGGCTGAATTGCCAGTTTGCTTGTTACATTAAGTCTTGGCTTGGGTAAGCACGATTTATTGAATAAATCACAGTTGGATAGGCTTACACAATATACCGCCATAAACCACAGCTAACAACCCACAATTATTTGGGTATACACAAAAAACATGGCTCAGTATGATGTGCAAACTCAGACATTAGTAGACGTCGTCAGATTAACAGGAAAGAGCACTTAACTCCCAACAATGAGGTAACTGCTGGAAGACCAAACTGGGTTTCATTACTGGACGAATCTATACATCGAGAAAGCCAACCCCCCCGCCCCAGATCCCTCCCTCCCTCCCTCCCTCTTCACTCAAACCGAGCCAGTTCTTCCACAGAAGATCGTTGTCAACAGTTCTCAGATGCGGGCAGACCTAACAGTCCAGGTCCTATCAAGTTCAATAGACTTCATTCCCATGAAAATAAATGTAGGAGGCTATTTTAATTACTTTGATGCCACCGTGCTCCATGAGGCAGTGCGATCAGCATTAATGAACTGAAAAAGTGTCATGTCCAGCTATTGCTCCCAACGCATCTGAAGAGCAGAAAATTGGTAAGACTAGACAACACATGGGTGTTTTTGTTTGACCATTTAACTGCTAGGGGGAAAAAACTGACTCCAAACGTTTTCAGAAACAAATGTATTTTCTTCATAAATACAGTACAGTTACAATTATCATGAGATCTACGTTCTAGACATAAACACACATTCCTATACAGGTACAGAGGAAATATAGAGTTGCACCAAGCGAAGAAAGACATTCAACGTGTTTAGAGCTCAGCCACGTCCCCAGACCCAACCTGCCAGGGAGCTACGAAATGGGCATTTCCCAGACAACAGGGCTTTCTGGCACCTCCAGGCTCACAGGACTGCTTCACATTGGACAAAAACCGCAGGGGGAAAAACTACATAGCTCTCCATTACAAACTTATATCACTGCTTCTATTACCCGAGTTTGTGTTAAACTCTTAGTCTAAAGCTTGGGTTCAGCAGAAACCCAAGGGATACAACAATCCTGCCTTGTCTCATTTGCATCATGAATCAGCTCTACGGGAGGGAAGGAATGGTGGCTGCCGCCTCACTTCCCGTAAGGATCCTGTATAGTCAACCATCTGGATTCTCCCACCAGGCAAAGCAGCCTTTCTGAAAAGTCCCCAAGAGAAAAGGCACAGCTGTATGACCTCTAGGCTTTCTGACAGCCAAGAATGATTGTAAGGAAAAGGTTGTGGCTTGTAACAAGCAAAGCACAAGCTTCCGTTTCCTTAAACACACAAAATGTTGGATGCTTAAGGCACTTCTCAGCAGGAAGAGGGCATATTTCAAATATGAGACCTACTGGTTTTATGCTCAAGAGTTGCAGGCTGTCATGTGCTTTGGCTAATCCCTAATCCAATTTAATATTCTGCGACTACTGCAAAAAATGATGTGTGCTAATTTAAGGAGAATTACCTCCCCATCACCCATTCCACTCTAATGTAACATTTTAGGCAAGAAATTATCCAGGAACCTGGATTATTTAGCCAGACATAACTCTTTCCCCCTTTTTGACTACTGAGAGAAGATGCCAAGAAGAGCGCCTGATGCAACTTGCCCAGCCACTAAGGGGCTCCTTCTCAAGGAGAAGTGAGTAAAGCCTACTTAAAGGACATTTGGCTTAATCCAGATGTGCAAAGGTACGATTGCTTTGTTCCGTAGGGTTACAACACCTGCTCTTTACTTTTGAGTGAACTCTCCTACTTTAATATATATATCAATCTGGGATCTATTTGGACAGTCATTAACACGCTAACATGTACTTCTGCAGTGTTAATTACCCCAATGTTCAAAATTTGCTCAATTCCCAAAGTATATGTGTTTGGCTGGAAATATGGGGTGGGGTGCGGGATAGAAAACCCTGAAATTTAATATCCATTGTATTTTTTAAAAAAAATTGTGCAGAAAGGAACACTTCAGAAAATTACAGGTTTTTTGATCCACATGGTTGTATTATTTCTGAAAACACTGACCCTGCTGTAAATATTGTCTCGAGAAAGGCACTAAATCATAATATACAATGATTCAGAGATACAGTCAAACCATTTGGGGGTGAAAGCGTGGAAAACGGGGCATAGAGAAAGGGGAAAAAAAAGTCTTTTTAGCCTGGTTGCAAAAAGAATCACCTCTTATGTACGCGGAGGCTGTCTTGAAGCCTCTACAGGTGCGAGAAATCTATCCGGTCCAGCCAGTGGAATAACGGAGCTTCATCAGGACCGAACAGAATTCGTGCAAAAGAGGCTTCTCACTGGCTTATCCATCCAAAACCTGAATAGTGGATATTATTCCCTACTTTGTGACACGTGAAAATGACATCCCCTGAAATCTCAAAATATCTCAACAGAAAGACAAGACATGAACACTAAAGAAAAAAAAATCTAAGTGCAGGCACGTTGTGAAAATCTTTTTATCTGGATTTCTTCTCCAGTCCTGGAATGTTCTGCGAAAATGGGACATTCGTCTTAGAAGGAAAACACGGAGAGAAAGTTTCCTTCCACCTCTTGGAGGCTCAAAGATTCTGAGGAAACTGAAATCTTCGGGAAACTTAATACTCAAAAGCGGCAGCACCGTGGTATGGCCCAGCTCTTGCAAACACTGGCGAGCAAAGGCTGGGGAAGGCATTATGGATATCCAGACAGCTAAACAAGTTTCTCTTAAATACAAGCTTTTTTTAAAAATACTGAAATTTTAAAAATTTAGTGCATTTAAGATCTTGGTTTATTTTCATCCAGCTGCTACCAGATCCAGTATTTAAAAAAAAAAAAAAGATAGGGAAAACAATTCTTAAACTAGTTTAATAATTTTGGAACCAATTATAAGTTAACCTGTCCATAACTTTGAGAGAAAAGTATATACACAAATAACAACAAAAAAGGAAGGTTCCTTTACGAGACAATAACTGTAACTTCTATTTTTAAAAAGTATCTGGGAAAATTATTCTTGCTATGCTGTCTGCATGTTTTTTTCAGATGAGATACTCCACCATTTCTCCATCGTTGAGGTCCTGCCCCAAATTCTGCGGTGGGTTTTTCCTTTCTAGGGTGCTGGAATGGAAAATGGAGCCGTCTGCAGACAAGAGAAAGAGAAGGAGAAGGCAAAGGAGGGCCGTGATTAAACATAAAAGGGGGGTGGAAAAGTACTCTCAACATCAATGGGCAAAACGTCCATCATTTATGACCAGGTTTCACTGGCAGTCTATTGATCTAACCAACCTTTTTAACATCAGACCCCGGAAGGGACACTCAAAACGGGCATGGGTTTACTTGGCAATCCTTGGCATGAGGTTCTCCCCAACAAATTGGGTGTGGGAGACCATGTGACGAGGAGGGGGTGAAACTCTCCTGCCTGACCTCTTGGAAGGGCTTCAACACTAAAATCACAGGACTGGCCGGGTGAGCTTTGGTGTGGCTCTTGCAGGAATGTTTCTCTAGGTTGCTCTGAGACACCAATTTTCTGTGGCTTTGTTGAAAACAGGAACCACTGGGGTATGTCAGTAAGGTACCTTCCCCAAAGTAGCATTCTCAGATGGGAGGAGACTACAGGTCGTCCTCGTTTAGCAACTGCCTCATTTAGTGACTGTTTGAAGTTACAATGGTGGTGAAAAAGTAACTTTGCAACCAATCCTCGCATTTACGACCTTCACAGGTCTGTAAAGCAGAGGAAAGCTGAAGTCAGATCATCAGCACCATCGCAGTTTCACTTAGTGACCCCCTTTGCTTAATGACCAAATTGGCAGTCCCAATTGTGATCACTAAATGAGGACGACCTGTACAACTCCCAGATGATTCTGCAAGGATGCCCAAGAGGTTTGGGGTCCCAACACATGCTGGGTTGCCAGTTGGTTTCTCTGCTCTTGCCCGGCACTTCTTACTCAAAAGGCAGCTTTGGGGAGCAGGACCCAGCAGCACCAGCCAGTTTGCTTGGCCTCTGCCTTGCCCAGCACTGGAGAGCCCAGCTGAGAGTAACGCCCCTCCATACCTGCTTTGTCTGCCCCGTAGGCCAGATTCACCGCCGGGAGTCTCCCTGGCGTGGGGGGCGCAGGCGAGGCGGCAGGGGCCTTGTTCTGCTCGCTGCCCCGGTCTGTCTGGGTGCTGCAGTCCCGGCTGCCCGTCTTGGAGTGTGCAGAGAGCAGCGGCGTGGAGGGAAGAACTGGCGAGGGGGTGGAAGGGACGGACTCCGAGCGGCATTCCGTTCCCAGCAGAACGCCTGGCAGGGAAGAGGGGCAGGCGGTTACTTTGAGTCTGGTTCTCTCGCGGGCCGCTGGCCTGGCTGCTCCCTGCCGGCCTCTTCTACCCTCCAGGGAGCGTGGTTGGGAAAGTTTTGCCCCAGCTGGTTGCCTGAACTGCAACCTGCAGGCCAAGCTGGATTCCTCCTCAGCAATCCGCCAGGAGGCAGGCAGCCACCCAACAGGGAAGGTTTGGGCTGCTGCACTGCCAGCTGACAGGATTCCCCACCCCACCCTTTCCATTACGGAGCAATTCAGCAGGCTTGCTTTTCAGATACGGAGAGCCGCAACAGTCCTGCGCTCTGTTCTGAGGGCCAACCAGGTGGGCTGAAGAATTCTTGATTTAGTAATAAATCAACCCCCCCCCCCACACACACACACAAGTGGTCAGAAAGGAGGGTTGGGACAGCAACATGCAACGCACGGCCCCCGGAATCTACCTCCAGAAGGCTTTATCCTCATTTACCCTCAGCTTCTCTTTTAACCTCCCAGATACCACTGCCAGAAGCACCTTTCAAAATCTTCATTAAAACGTAAATCTTGCAAGTAGCGTCCATTTTGAAGATTAAGCATGTGGAGGGGGAAGATCAGTAACGACATAGATGAGTTAGGGCTATGTATGTAATTATATGCATATATTCTATGCCTTTCTCCTTTTATACTTTTTACTTAATTAATAGGACTATACTGGAAAAAATTAAGTATGTAAAAATTTGGGGGGATTTGCACAATCTACATGGAGCAAAATTTCATAATTTGTGACAAGCATTGGGAAATTAAACCATGCCATCGCCTCCCATGCACTTCTAATCTGAGGTGAATAAAAGCGTGTAGGCCTTTGTTCGTGCCACCAGTGGTCAGCGTGCTCTGGTGCACGCCCAAGATGGCAGATCTTCACCCAAGGAGGGGGTAGTGCAACGTTTCGTTGCAAATGATGACGACGGAAGTTAGAAACTAAAAACTGACTTTATAATGTTTTCAGTACATTTTTTTCCTTTCTTTTGCGTTAGGTGATTTCAGTCAAAATGTATTTACAATCCAAGACCAAACACAGTAGATGATTTATCTTTAAGTAATGAAACAGTGGAGATACTGGCATTCAGCTCAGAGATTCAAAAGACATTTAAAATCCTTTTCTTTTTTGTCAAAAATAACTCAGTGTGTTCTGCTTTTATGGTTAATCCTTCATCAATGAAATATAGAGCACCAACTGCATATAAACCTTTGCAGTTTCTCTGTCTACTTCCTGATATTATATTTTTGTATTATTGTTTTTTCCTTGGCTTGTCTGTCTGTTTTTTAAAAAACGATTAAATAATAATTAAAAAAGATTTCAGTGTCACCTAAGCTGCCTTTCCAGCTCTTGTCCTCCCTCTTCTCTTCCAGGATGGGGGTGCTGCTGAGCGTGGAGGAGTGGGAGAGCAAGCCAGAGCCAGCATTGGAGATGGAGATCAGGGACTTGGCTGGCCGCATGGAAGACAGCTGGTCGGTCTTGCTGGCCTCCTTCCGGGATCGCTGTTGAAGGACCTTGATCATGGCGTCCTTCTCAATGATCTGAGCGTGGAGAGTCTTGATTCTAAGATGGGGTAAAAGAAAAGTCTCCTCCATTTCAGTCACCCCCATGTTTCCAGACTATTTATGCTCCCCCAAATATTCAGAAAATTGGGCCGGCTGAGGTCATGGGCAAGTTGGCAAGATATGTGCCTGCCTGGTGCTCCAGACCTCAAGCCTTGTTTATCTAGGCCAGGAAAGCTGCAGATTCAGATGTGAGCATCCGAATAAGGGAAAGAGGAGCAGGACATATTGAAGGCCCTGAAGATGCTGCTTCATGTGTAAGGAAAGGGACCTTCCAAAGAAGCCTGCCAAGCCACATTAGCCTCAATCCAACATGCCTGAACTAGGTGGTTGAGAAATATAAATTACTCAAGGAAAAATGGAGCAAAATCAAGAGGGAGAACACTGAAACTAAAGGCTAATTCCATCTCCAAAAGCCAAAAAGATCCAATCCTTTTCTCATGTGATTCTCCCCCTCTTCCCACCCACTTCATATTTGCAAACTGAAAGGCACTGTACCCCTTTTCAGAAAGGAGAACTGGCAGTGGTAATTTAGCCAGTGAACAGAAATGTCAAAATATCCCCTTCCTTCCTTCTAGATAATTGCTCTGCTTTATGTTTTGGGGAAGTGTTAGAATTTGGGTGGCCAATTTACTTTTCTGTCATAGCTATTCCGCATTTCAATGTCTAATATTAATAATCAGGAGAACAAGATTTCCTTATCACCCCTTTACCTGATGAGAAAACATGGCGTGTCCACAATTTCCCAGGGAGTGTGTACCACAACTTGGGAGCAATGCAGGACAAGGTCCTTTTTTGGAATGCCAGGTGGCTCTCTGAAAGCAGGACACCTTCAGAAGGGCCTCTTCATGGATCTTAACAACTAAACAGGGTCATTGCAAGCATGGGGTTCCCATAAACCATTCAGGACTTTCTAGGTCAAAACCATCATCTCAATTGTGCTTGATAAGCAACTGGCAACCGGCGTAGATCTTTCAGTTTTGGAATCCTACGCTCTTTCTACCTTATACCAGTTAGCTGCTATACTTTGCGTCAACTCCAACTTGAACCCTTTTCAAGGGTAGCCCATGCAGACTTCACTGATTTCTGGGTAATTAATGCAGAACTATGGATTTTGGAGTTGCACCCAATGAGGAGCAGAAGAAAGAAGAAGCTGTTCCTTACCTGCCCTCCATGTCAAGGCACCTCCGGTTAGCCATGAGGATCTCTTCCTCTTCCTTCTGGATGCGAGCTTCCAGGGAGGTGTCATAGCTGGCGTTGGGGGAATGGCTGATTACAGTGGTGTCCCTGCAAACAACATGGGATTCAGAGTTAGAGATCCCTGCTCCGCTTTCAGACACAGAAACTCCCCACTTTACCAGACAAGAAGGAACCCAACTTTTTCCAATATCAGCAGAACTGCAAAATGCAGCTGGTTGAGTTATCCCATTTCAAATTGAACAGCAGGGGAAAGTAAGATAATCCAAGTATTTTCCCATATAAAAGGAATCCCCAAACACAGAGAAAACAGTATGCTAGATTCTGAGATGCAAGAAAATACATGTGTCTGGACTTAAATGGCCAGGATTCTATCAACCTTTGGGGGGTTGGGGTCGAGGCATAACGAATGAAGTCCGCCCAAAGCTCTTCCTCTGAAACGCAGCTGTGCAAAATGACTGATGGTCTGAGCCGGGAGCGTGCAACTCATCAGAGAAATGGGAGCTGCTTGCAATGGTTAGAGGCAGTGCTGGCGTGCTCCTGCTTCCCCCTGCCAAAGTTGCTGGCTCCCCATCGTTGGAGGGAAGCGGGGGCCCAAAGGAAGCAGAGCAATCTTCCTGGCTTTTGGGGATCAAATGAAGCAAGGCTGAACTGTGCCAAACCTGGGAGACCAACCAGTTTATTACTAGGCAAGCGTCCGCGTTGCAGCCCCCTTCCTCGGATGCTTGGAATCATGTCCTGGAAGAGGAACGCTGCATATACAACTATTATGGGGAAGGGAAAAAAATAAACTGCAGGCTGATTTCACTGGGAAAGGAGCTCAGCTACAACTCATTAGGAGATTTTACACCATTTCATATGACCAAGATTTGCAATTTGTGTCACATCTAACCATTCTTCTGTTTATGGTCATTATTTATATGTAATCCTCTCTCTCATCTCTTCCCCCCTTCCCAGCTGTTGATCTCCTTTCATTTAGTTCTACCGTTTAGCTTAGGAGAGCTCAGTTCTCAGGATTAAACTCCATGCATCAAATCAAAATCTGACCCAAGAAGCCTTATAATAAACTGTTCTGAAAGTGTCTATGATTCTTCATGGTTTTAGATGCAAAATATTAACCTAAGGATGCCTCTGGAATCTCTAGTTGTCCAAAATTTGTCTTTAAATTGTTATCCAAACTTTTGTTCTATAAAAACTGGAACTAAAAGAGCATTTTTTTCCTTCTGTATTAGTAGAAAGAAGAAAAGCAATAGAATTCATTGCTAGAAACCAGGCCCTTTCAAAATTCATCCCCGCTGCCAGCTCTTGGGGGGATTAAGCTGGCAAATGAAGCTTTCAAATCGGTTTGAGCTCTGTGGGAAACTGGATACTGTAAGTGGCCGATACTGGCAAAACCAGAAGGTGTACAATATTTGGCTTGATGGAGACATGCAGAAAGTCAAATTTTTAAATGATTTTTTTTATCCTGCCTTTATTACCTGTTTATAAAGAACTCAAGCTGGTGAACGTATCTAATATCCTTCCTCCCCTATTTTCCCCACAACAGCAACCCTGGGAGGCGAGTTGGGCTGAGAGAGACTGAGTGACCCAAAGTCGCCCAGCTGCCTTTCATGCCCAAGGCGGGACATGAACTCTCCATTGCCTGCTTTCTAGCCTGGGGCCTTGACCACCAGATCGTTTTTTGCTGCAATCCAAATGGTTCCAGCTCCTTCTTGGAAAGATAAATGTGGATATATATTTAAAACGTGATACAAAGATGTGCAGCAATTGGAGAGAGCAGAAGAAGTAAGTTATAGAATAAAAGCTGGAAGGGACAGCTTGCGCGAATACTTTTGCCATTACACAGTCAAAGTATATGGTATTAATTGGAAAATGGATTTTCCCCAAGCACCAACATTCCTTAATAATCTTTGGGCTGATTTGCCAGGATGAAATTGGAAGTTTTGTTGGTTGTGGGAGCACACTGAATGGTGCACATTTCTCCTGCCAGGTTTCATCTGATTCTTTTGCAATGGTGTCTCAAAATAAGATAGATGATAGATTGAAAGATTGATGGATAGATAGACTGATTGACTGATTGATTTAAAAGATGCCGTGGCAAAGTAACAAAACAACATAGCCACAAAGCAAGTTGATGATGCATAACTGGGAATGATCATGGGTGGACTAGGGAGGTACAGTTCCTCTGCAGCTTTTTACTTCCGTGCCACCAGTGGGCTCTTACCGGTGAGCGGCCACAGTGGCCGCCGCGTCCAAGGCGAACTGCCGCATGACGCTTTCTTCCAGATACTTCTGCTCCCACTTGGTCATGTCCGCCTCCAGAGCCAGGATCCTCTCCTCCTTCTCCCGCAAGAGCTCCATCAGGGCAGCGGCGTTGTACTCGGAGGCGTTGGCTGTCTGAGAGGTTCCCTGGCGCTGGCAGGAAAAGGCGACAAGCGAGACCACTGAGAAGTGCGCACAACTGTGACCAAGGCGGTGGTGCTCCACAGAGTCGGGGTGGACTCCCGTGGAGGGAGGGTCGCGGGAGGCCGCCTCGAGGGCGGCGTGGGCGGCTTGCTCCCCCCCCCTCAGCCAGGGAGGGTCCATCTGCAGCTAAGCCCCTAACCTTCTCCCACGCGGCAATGACCGGGGGTGGCCCAAGGGACGCTCCCTGGTGCCAGCCCAGCCGTACTCCAACTTCACGTACTGCCTGGCAACAGCACGGAAGACTGGTGCACGTCAAAGCAGGAACCATATTCCAGTTTAGGGGCTGGCGATGCAGCATCTGCCACACCCCAGATAAGGGCAAGATGAAACAGTCACAATAAAATAAATGAATGAAAAAAATGGCCCAAGTTGTGAGATCCTGAAATCCCGGGAGCTTTTGATTCTCACATTTTGGAGGTGAGATTGCAGAAAGTTCAAAAGATTTGACTATCCTGCGAGTTTTAGAATTAGTTTAAAAATGTAAACATTTTCATTTCAATTGCACTTTGCACATGCCCCTGGCACCTTCTGCAGTTAGTAAAACCTCCATGACTGGCTCTGGTGACATCATGAAGTTTTCTTAGCAACCGAACAAAAGCGGGTTGCCGCTGTCCTTTTTTAACTTCCTAGACCAGCCTACAGCCCAGAGCTTTGTCGGTCTCTCCCGTCCACATCCAACCCCACTTCGTTTTCTGGGAACGGCCAAAAAGAACACGGCTGCCCGGGCTGTAAATAGCGTTGGCTACTTGGCACACGCAACACCCTGCTTCAGGAGCTGTGTTGGTTGCCAGTGTGTTTCCGGGAGCAATTCAAGGTGCTGGTCGTCACCTTTAAAGCCCTTCCTGGCCCGGGGCCAGGTTACCTGAGGGACCGTCTTTTCCCGGTCATTTCTACCTGTCCAGTCCGGTCCGGCAGGATGGGCATGCTCTGGGTCCCGTCAGCCAAGGAATGTCGGCTGGCGGGCACCAGGGGACATGCCTTCTCCGCTGTGGCGCCTGCCCTCTGGAACATCCTCCCTCCTGAGACTGGGATGCCCCCAACCCTTTTGGATTTTCAGAAGGCCTTGAAGGCCTGGCTTTGTGCCCGGGCCTGGGGCCCCAAGTGTGCAAAGGGCCCCATTTCGTGGTTGTGCTGACACCGGCGGTTATTTAAGATCCCTTGGCTGCATTTATATTTAATTTTCTGTATTATTTTAAGTGTGTGATTGTTTTTATTATTCTTAGCCGCCCGGAGTCACTGGTCTGAGATGGGCGGCTATATAAATTGAATAAATAAAATAAAATAAATAAACATAAATAAATAAAAGAAAAATTGGCTCAAGGGCTGTCACTTTCCTGTGGTTTCCTCCTCCAGCTGCTTTGGTCTGGAAAGGAAGGAAAAACTCCCGTTCGCTCTTGGTCTTCACCTCCGTCTAAAAAACAGCCCTCGACCGACCCACTTCCACACGCGCTTTGCAGAAGCCTCTGAGCCTCGCTGGGGCAGAGCAGAAGAGGGGCCGACCTGCCTTTACCTGCTGCATCCGGAGCGATTCGAGTTCCCTCTCCAGCCGCGTCCTGAGACGGTGCTCGAGCTGCTCTCGCTTCTCGCAAGCCGCCTGCAGCTGAACCAGGGCCTGCTGCATCTTCTCCACCTTCTCCACGTAGACCTGCTTCTTCTTCAGCTGCCGAGGAAGGGAGGCAGACCACGGTAAGAGCTCCTGCGCAGATCCCTTGGCCCCCCCATAAACACGGTTTGTTGCCCCCAGCACCGAGGGCAGAGCAGGTGCTCCGAATCCGGGCGGTCCGCCTTGATCTCCGGCCTCTCCAGCTGAGCCCGCGAAAAGGACGTCCGCATCTTACAGACCTTCCCTGCCAACCACGCCCCACAAAGCAAGCTCTCCTTCTAGGGTCTTCCTAATTTATGCTAATCAATTTATTGGCAGAAGCCAAAAAACAACTCAAAAAAGAGATATTCAGCAAACAGTAAGATTATTAGAGTACATATTTGAGCAGAACATGCTACAGTCCTAAGGAATGTTATCCTTAATAAAACTAATCAAAGAATACTGTGTATCGTGAACACCTTTGAGGTCCATATACTTTACTACACTCTTATTTTACATGTTAATTTTTCCACAACCATGTAATATCCTTAATGAACTGTACTCAAATGATGGGGAAGAGTCTGATTTCCAGCACTGGCGGGTACCAGCGGGGTAATTAACATGCCTTATGACATATTTCTCAACCTCGACAACTTAAAGATGGGTGGACCTCAACACCCAGAATTCCCCAGCCAGCCATGCTTGGCTGGGGAATTCTGGGAGTTGGAGTCCACCCATCTTAAAGCTGCCAAGGTTGAGAAACACTGCCTTATGATCATTCTTAAACTGAGCTTGGAGCAGATGGACAACGGACGTAATTTTAGTGTTGCTAAAAAGAGTTTGGAGAGAGTGCTGCTCATTAACTCACCACCTTATTCCAAGAGGCCCTTGTTTTAGGGCACTCCCATCCCCGAAGAGGTAAAAAACTTCCTTTTGGTCCACGATGTTTTCCAATCATTTTGGGAGTTAGGATTCTGTGAATTCTTTGAGCTGCACTGGGATATAACGGCATTTGTACGTTGACTTTGGAGAGTTCTCTCCAATTAAAATAGGAGCAGCCTGGAAAGTTGATGGGGGGGTTTCTTTGAAGGGGCCCCTCAAATCCACACTCTTCTTCAAATGAAAGGCAGCCTGAGCTCCAGTGGTACCCTGGACCTCTTCAGCGGGCGATCCTGAGAAAGCGAAACCCTGCCACCTAACCGGGTGGTTGGTAATGAAGTTTAAGAAACAGGGCAAATCCACACAGGGTTTGCCTCTCAGGATTAATTGTGGGGAGATGGGGAGGGTCCCTTTTTCGTTTTCGTCCCTTTCCTCTACCCCCCCCCCCCCCCGTGACTCCCCACCTCCCCTCACCTCAGCCAACTGCCAAGACTTCCTCTGGCAGAGATCGGACGGCTGATGGAAAGCTTTGGAGTCAATGGCACCAGGCCGAACGTGCCCCGCTTTGCCCTCTCACTGGACCATCGGCCTGCGCTTTGGGGGCGGGGAGGAGCATCGCTGGCCTGGGGCAGGCAACAGCAGCACTCGCTGAGTCCCATCCGAGAGCGCTGCCCGTTGGGAAAAGGCTCTCTTGATGCATCTGGCAAGGCAGGATGTGATCCGTCAGCCTGCTCGAGGCGCACAGAAAGCGAAGCTGGAAGAGCGAACCCCTGCCTATCCAGTCCGTGGAGAAAAGGCTCTTCCTTGTATCAGACAGACGGGGAGAACTCCTGCCTGACTTATCCGGTGCACGGAGGAGATTTTCCCTCCTCAAAGACCACCCAAGACCTCAGCAGGAGGCTGGATCCACCACACCGACCCTCTCCTGAAGGCTGCGGTACCAGAGGGATAAACGAAGGAGCTCAATCAGCTGGCCTTCAGATTGGTCAGGCTGGCTGCGGAAGATAGGAATTGTAGTCCAATGCATTTGGAGAAAGCCAATTTGAGCAAAATTGCCTTTGAAACACAGTTGGCAGAGACACAAAAAGTCCCTCTATGTTGTTATTTGATACCCGGGCTGCTGGTCTCTAGCATCCCTGTGGGGTCCGTTTTGCCCTTGTGGTGTGTGTCACCTGCATGAAACTGCTGGGGAGAGTCATCTGGGATGCTGAAGCTGCGTGGCCGCCGGCAGCCTGGAAGTGGTCTAAGGTTGATCATGATCTGGACGAGGGAGGGCCTGCTGAAATTAAATCCAGCTGAGACAGAGACTCTGTTGGGTCAGTAAGAAGCTGGACTTGGAGATGGAGGAATCAGATTTAGATGGAGGATCTGCTCTCTCCAATAGAGCAGCTCTGGAGTTTGGGACTGCCCCCCGATCTTTTAACTGGGGTCACATTGGCTAGATGAGGTGAACAGTGTATTTGCACAATTACGTTAAGGTGTCAGCCCCCATCCTTCCTGAGCCCGTCAGATTTGGTGACAGGCATCAATTCCTTGGCTGCATCCCTTCTGACGCCTCCAACCACTGGGTGAGGCAGCCCATATTACAAAGTGGGCAAAGGGCTGAGCTGCCGACTGGGGCAAGGTGCAAGGGACATCTCATGCCAGTACTGAAAGCACTGCACGGGCTGCTGATTGCCTCCAGGCAAACTGAAGGAGCAGGCAGACCCTGAGAGCCCCGAGCGCTCTGAGTATCCAGGGGCTGCCTCTCCAGTCAGGAACCTCTCCGGTGGCTGAGATCTGCAGGAGAGGCCCTCGGAGATGCTCCTCTGGTCAGGATCAGTCCTTCTGGCCTTTTCTGACGTTGCTCCCAGGCTATGGTGTGTACTCCCTAGGAATCTGTCTCTGGCCCCCACTCTCTTAACATTTTAAAAATACAAATTCTTTCCTCGGGCATTTACTTGCTAATTAATTCTAGCGTTCATTTTAATTCATGTCCTCGCTTATAAAAAACTTTGCCAGCCGTCTTGGCACTTGCTTGAATAAAAGGTATACACTGAATAAATCAGGAAATAAACTCAAGCAAATTTCCAACAAAAACTAGGGTTTCTTAGTCTAATTCTTGCTGCTGTAGCTTTGTCTGACATTTATGCATGTAACATTAGAATGCTGCAGCCAAATGCAGAAGGAATGTGTTCAAGTTGCCAAAAGTCTGAGAGGTTTCTCCCTAGAAATGGGACTTGGAACCGCCATTCCTCAAATGTTGTCAAGATGCTACAAGCAAGCTGGAAAAGAGACGCTGGATTGCTGAAACCCGCTCTCCCTTAGACACCAAGGAGCTGATCTCTCCTAATTTTTGGAAACATCTGACAAAGAAGAGGACCAGGACCTGGGGGACTTCATCAGCCAGAATGGCGACAGCAGCAGGGCAGGGAAATGTCACATTTTCCTTCCCCCACTTCCCAGCTCTGCTGTGCTGGGCAAAAAAGAAACGGAGTGGGACTGCAGAGTCTGCCTTACTGGGAGATCTGGAAGTGCTTCTTCTAATGTGGGATGCTGGGGGCAAAAATGCCAGAGTTTGCTGGGTGAATGGCAAAGTAAACCTGGGCCTCCCTAGTCAGAGGTGGACCCTCTAAGCATGATTCTGTGCTGGTTCTCCATGGCACCATCATGGCTATGGAGAGGGTGGTAAGGAATGGTGCAAGGTCGGTATCTCCTACATGGCTCACATTGCCCACTCATGAATCCAGCAAGCTTTTTTTCCCCCTCCATGAGAAAAGCTCTGAGAAATATGCAAACTTTTTGTGGAAGTAGTTATTTCGTTCATACTGAGAAGGCAGCAGATGTGAGCGCTGTGGCTTCTATTACGTGTTTTCCTAGAATCTTGAAATCACCCTCTCAGGACTGGAAATCTCTTGGCCACCCACTTCCAAAGCAGTTCTGGTTCCCTCCCACTCTAATCTCCACCTTTCCTTTCCCCCCTCCCCAACAATAACTCTGAAGCCCCTTTAGGACTTCATTCTATACTTCACATGGCAGCATCACAAAAGCTTAACGCATTTAAGATAAAGCTGGTTATTCCTTAACTTGACCAAAGCCTCTTAGGATCTAGACTCCCATCCCTGATCCATGCAGGAACCCAAATTAAAGCATCTCAGGGATGTCCAGCTTCTGCTTGAACAAATCTAATGAAAAGGAGCCCGCCACCTCTCTGGTCACTGGTTCCACTGGCAAACTGCTTCGTTGGGAAGCAAACAGGCCAGTCTCTCTTCCTGAGATTTGACTGGAATGGCCTTCCTGCAACCTGAGGAATCATTCTACAGTAGGTCCTACAGTCTGGAACAATGGATAACAGTTCTTGACATTCTTCTACACAACATCCATTCAGGAATTGGAATCTTCTCTTCTCAAGGCTGAACCTGCCCGGTTTCTCTGAGCCTTCCCAACAGGACTTGCTTTACCACCCCCTGGTCAATGGGCTGCCTCTTTCTGATCCTGCTCCAGTTCTCTTAAAGTGGGCTGGGCCCAGGACTTGAGGTGGGGTTTGCCCAATGCAAAATGAAGTGGAGCTATTACTTCCAGTGATGTGAAACTAGACTCCTGTTGCTGAAGCCTAAAATCGCAGTTGCCTTTTTTGTAACCCTCTCGGCCTGCTGGCTCATAGTCTGTTTGCAATCGACTACTGTGCCAAGATCTTTTTCAGGAATCTCCCTTCATATACCTGGGCATTTCATTTTCTTTTTCTAAGACAAAACTTTGCCCTTCCTTGTTAAGTTTCCTTCTGTTACTTTCAGCCCATTTCTCTAACTTATCACCATAGTTTTGAACGTTATTTCTGTCTTCTACGATATTAGCTGCCATGGGCAATTTTATGTCATCTGCCAGACTCCCTCCAAGCTGGCACTCGCCCATGGTTGGGAATGCAATTTCCACACTGGCTGTGGTCTAGGGTGGAGTAGGCTGTGCTTGAGAGACAGAAGCCAAGGAAGAGAACACATTTCCCCAAGAAATCCTTCGGTCAGGACTTTAATGCTGGAATCAAGAGTGTTAAAAATTATGACTCCTGGGAAACCAGACCCTTTTTCAACTGAGCACCATTCTTAGGCTGATTAATGGAAGACACTGATCAATCAAACACCCCAACCTACAAAAGCAGCCTCCCCGTGGAGCAGACTTGAGTGGGTGCCAATGCTCGCTCTGCTTGCAAATTTGGTTACAAT